ACCGGTTGCCTTCCAGCCACAGGTGAGTTCCTAGTTGTGATTTGTTTCTCAGTTTTTAAGAGCACTTCTTATAGACTCGAGAGTGATAAAATGCACACTATTGGAAATGGTACTGCTCCTCCTGGAACGTCCTAGACCTCCCCAGTTTTCCACCCTCTCCACAGTTCTTTCTTTTACTTTATTTGACTCAGAAAAGAAAAAGAAAAACCCACCCATAAGCAGCGAACACTAAGAACTCTGGTATTCTTTGTGGCAGTCAAATCGAAAATTAAACACACCTTGGAGTTGTGTTCGAATTGCCTTACAGGTGCCTCAGCACTGCTCATCTGAACTCACTTGAAAGGTCTTCATTGCTCAGGTTATTGCAGAAGGGAGTCTTTCCTGAGGGGGAACTGCAGGAGTGCCTCTTTGGATAGCCATGTGCAGGAGAGTGCCACTTTGCTTCTCGGTATGTTACAGAGAGTAAAAGAAGTTCAGGTTATGAACAGTTTTCAGGATATGGCCTCTCAAAAAATCGTATTGTCTTTGAGCTTTGACACACCAAAGCCATAGGAAATGAATATTGACATTTTTCCATTCGACTCTTGATCAGACAGAGACTGAAGATCAACAGCAGCTAAAGACTGTTGCAAAGCAAACCTCAAGGTTCAAGTTAAAGGATTTCTTCAGGGCCAAGCCAGTCTTCAGCCATTCATTTGGTTGTGCATGGTCATGCTGTATGCAAGCTAACTCCCTACTATATTTAACCTATTATTCCAGTTGGATTAGGTGTAAATAGACTGACAAATATAAACCTGTCTTATCCTTCCCTCAGACTGTGACACTATGCTAAGAAACAGACCAAAAAGTGCTGATCCTACGAAGAATTTGGTATAAATAAAATCACCACTGCAGTGTGCTGCAGGAGGTAGTCTTTATTTATCTAAGCTAAGCCCATCTTTGCGAGGAACAGAATGGTTATTGGTTTATTCCTGTTTGAAAGCTTTGCAGCCAGACCTAGGAACTTGCACTTCAAGAAAAAAATCTATGAGACTACAAAATGTTTATAGCTCTGCATCCTAGCTGTCAATTTTAATCTGCAGTACAAAGACTTCACAGCTGTAATAAAGCTTTTAATTTAATGTTCTCAAAGTTTGGTCTGTGCGCTCTTTTGGAAAGCACACTTGAATCCCTGAGCAGATATTTCACTGAAGTTTCTGATGCCTAAATATATATATTTCTGCAGTTCCAAATAATTCTGTAAACTGCTTTATACTTGACATGATCCAAGCCAGCCTGCCTTCTCCACAACCTTAGGTCTGGCTTTTGATTAGCACCAAACAGGATTGGCCATAGCATTACTGTATTTTCTTTGTATTTTTTGATAGACATAATACAACCATACCTTAAGTCAATTTAGAGTGGCTTAATGCATGCATGTCTTATTTAAATTATAGTAGTTTTCTCAGAAAAAACATTTGAAAGAGGAGGAAGTATCCTTTGATTCTCTGACAGAAACCTTTTTTTCCTGCCTAGTAGCAGCAACAACAAATTCAGTCTAGGTACTTGTGTGTCTTAATAATGGGCAAGGACAATTTTTTTGCCCCCAATTACTTACGTTTCTTGTTTAATGTGCTTAAGTAGGTACGTGTACTGCAAATCTGATATATAATTTTTTGTTTTACTTGAGGATAGTTCAGCTTCTTTCTTGTCCTCGTCCCTCAAGTGAATGCTTCAACTAGAACATGGAGGTTTCTTTACAAAGTCTCTTTTAAACCTTCTTAAGCTTCTTTGGTTTGTGGCACAACCAATAACTTCACTGGTAACTAACACGTTGAGAAGTCAGTAGGCATTTTTGCTTCTTCGGGGTGTGCTTATGCTTTAGCTGTTGGTCCTTCAGCAGTCAGCTGGGGCCAACAAGTCCCCGCCGGTCCCAGCTCCCTGCTGCAGAGATTCACCGAATCTCTGCACTGATGACAGAGCTGCCAGAACAGAAGTTCCGCCGAGTGTCTGGCAGAGAAGCTTGTAATTCCAGTCACATGGCTTCTTGTTCCTTGGAGGGCTGCTGAATATCTCCAGGTGGCAAAAGCAAGTCTTCTTTTATTTTTCTAGTGTTTGTTCTGTACTGCAGCTCTGCATTTTTGTCCCACGATGCTGACCTTCTTCTGCACCCCAAGCAGTTCCCCTGAGATGGGCTGCTGAGAATTACATAAAGGCCACATTCGCACTGTGCCTTGCAGATAGCTCTCCTGTTGTTACGTCTGCCACACTCCGTGGTTTAACTCCCAAGTGCTTAACCTTCCATTCAAATCCCAAAATATTTTAAAATCACGTGGCTTACTTCACACATTCTTACACAGTTAGATGTCTGACTGGCACCAGTGGGGATTTCTTTATCAAAAAATGCAAGTGTAGATCCCTTGCAAAGGAAGAAGCTACCTTTGCTTTTTAGCCTCTTCTTACTAAAATTCTGTAGTCAGAAATGGCAATGTAAGAAACCTTCCTGTACGCTACAGAGGCAGCTGAGATTTTTAAATTTACTTTTAAAACTAATAAAACTTAATTTACAGCTTGATAACTGTGAACCCTAAAAGGAGAGAGCTGTTCCAATAGAAGACAGAACACCTTGCTCTTGTGGTATATCTCACTGATACGCTACTTCCTTCTTAGTGCTATGCTTTCTTTCAAGTCTTTAAAAACGACGACTAACACCAGTGAAGAACTCTTCCCTTAGAAATGACTGTTTGGGTGTCCTAATCCCTTCATTCAGCCAGCTGATCCTCCTTTCACGGAAAGCTTGCTAGTCACTTCTGCACATAAATCCAATACAGGCTGTTCCTTCTCTAGAGTGTCTTGGATTCTGACAATACTTAAGCCAAAACTATTAACTTTCTTCCACATTTTCTTTCTATTAATTTCTTGCAGTGTAAGTTTATTATGAAGCTATTTCATACATAATGCCTATCTGGATTGTGAACACAAATGAAAGCTATTAGTAGTTGGATGCTGCTATGTGAACTTTGAAACTCAGATTTAACATTATCCAGAATTCTTGGAAATACATTTTTGTCAGGAAAAGTAGAGGAGCAGCGTTCCCTCATTTTACTCCGTGGTTGCTTAGATTGAATTTACCCAATTCACACACAGGTTCACAACCTTATACTGACCCTTAACCAGGAAAGAGCTGGACCATTCTTTCTACCTAATTTAAAAGAAATACAATAAAAGTTTGTGCTGAGTTACTGTTTCAATGATCATATTTATTATTTTCTTGGTACAATTTATTCTTAAAACCTTACTGCAAATGTGTTCACAGGGAGGGTTTGTCGCTGAAGGTGCAGAATCTGGCACACCTTTTAATGACATAAACTTGTTAGAAAAGGTATGTGTCTTAGTTTCAATATTTAATCTAACTATCTACCTTGCTTTCCCTAAGTCACTAGTCCAAAATACACACCCTGCACATGCAGGAGACTAGTTTTGCTCTTTCATGTAGGCACGGGAAGGTCATAGCTGGAGAAACTAAATTGACTGTGAACAACCAGCATTACTAACAGCGTCATTTGAGAAGTGCGCCTTTTATAGCTTTGCAGCTGACAAAGGTAGAAATGCAACTTTTCTTTTAAGTCACTCGGGAATTCCAGTGAGCAAACACTTGGAATACTAAATGGCTGGGGTTATTCAGAGTGGGGAACTGATTTTTCTAGGAATACGCCTGCACTTCTTCCTGTGCGCAGAGATATTAAAAAGTAATATAAAGACACTGTCCTCCAAAGCTCAGGATAATGACTCCAGCATTGCAAATCTTCCTTGGCTGTGAGCAAGAATCTCAAGGTCAAATCTGTTCCCTGGAATCCTACTTGGCAGGGATCTGCTTGTCTGCTTACCCACCTGACGAGGGTATTGTAAATGATAGATAATCCTTTCGTCTGCCGTGGTAGCTGTCTTGTCCACTACAGGCTGTGGACTACATATGAAAAAAAAAATTATTAAGTACAAACACTGAGACTGAAGCTTATTTAATTTCAGGTCAGTGCTCCTGCTTCTCTCGGATACCAGAACTTAGCTTACTGACTGCACAGTGCTTTCCACAGAAATCTAAGACCCAAACTTTGAGCAAGGCTTAGTTTCAGTTTGAATTCCAGTCTGTGATTTAGACACTATTGCATTCTATCTTCTGTGACTGATAATGTGAAATCTTATTTCCTATAGGATTGGAATGACTATGACGAAAAAACAAAGGAATCTGTTGGAATCTATGAAGTTACCCATAAATTTGTAAAATGCTGAAGTTCAGACCCCTAATAAATACTGACCTGTTCATTGCTGAAGGAGCTGTAACCATCAGAGACTCTGTCTCCTCAGAGATACTTTTTACGTGGCTGTTCTTCAGAAATGGAAACCTAAGTTGTACTCACTGTCCCCAGGATGTCCTAATAAAATATTTCCACAGAGCACTTTGAGATGCCCTCAGTGCAAACTGAAAAGAGTATATACGTTTGACTGAAGTGTGCCATTTTCTTAATGTTGTTTTTTTGAATATATATGGTTGTGAGGGACTGTAGCTTAACTACTGTATCAACAGTAACTACTTAGAGTAACTACTTAAGACAACTTACTGCCTTAAGGTTTTTAATAGCCTATCCCCAGGAGAACCCACATTTGATTCTCTAACATAAGCAAAAAAATCTTTTCACTCACCGCTCCTATCATGAGGAAACAGCCACAAGTATTAGTAAAGGGACTGTGTTAACTGTTGGAAGTGAAAAGGTACGTCTTTAATAGCTTTCGGTCAGTTCCAGTAAAGACACCGAGGTGAGTGTACCGAGAACACTTACTAAGCTTGACCGCTATTGACACTTATACATAGCTGTTACAATCTTCTGAAAATTAAGTTATCTTTCTGAGTGTGTCAGTAAGTAAACTTCACTCATTTCTAGTTGAAGACAGATCTTCTACTCCTTGGCAAGTGCACTCACAGTCTTGCCAGGTGTTTTAAAGAAAACAACAACCAACCAAAAACACAAACCCAAAAACCTTCTTTAGTGAATTTCATTTAAAGACTTTTGGTCTGATTATTTCCTTCATCCCTACCAAATGGTCACCCTCCTTTCTTTGTTTAAATGAGCAAGAATAATCATGGTAAGTTTTAAAGTAAGTTTTAAAATAATCCTTTTCAACTGAAAACTAGAAAAGCACATTACAGGCTGCAGAGGTAACAGCCCTGACTAGGAACAGCCTGTGGACTTACATATTTAAAGCAAGCCTCTCCCCTTCCTAGCATCTGCAGTTCATACTTCAAGATAGGGCATTGCTTACACTTACTGTGATAAAGAAAAAACAACACTGGGAGAACCTGGAAGCTGAGATATCCAAAGCAAGAGTAAAGGCAAGCAGGTTTCTGAGCCTCTGAACCTGATCTGTCACATCCAACCAACGTGCTCAGACTTTATGTTCTGCTAATAGATTTGGTTGTCCAGGACACAGCGGGCTGTGCTGAAAGACAGGAGCTGTGTTAGTTTTACACAGAGCTGCAGAGGCAAGCACTGCTGCGCTACTCAGCTCCCAAGACAGACTCATCTTCCCAAAAGAAAAGGAGTGGAAGTCGAGGGTTTAAAAGGCAGAGGAGTTCAAGCTGTACACACCACAACGAGTTTTGTGCAAAAAGGGGTATCGCATGCAAAGGGCATCTGTGCTGTAATCCCAGCAACTTTGAGCACCTTTGGCTTCTGGACCGACAAAGGCCCTTCCCCTTTTGCTATCACCCTCTTTACCTGGCAAAGTCCCAGCTGGGAACAGCACATACGGAACTTGTCTGCATCAGTTTCATCTCGCATTCACAGCATCGCGAAGTTTTACTCATGTCTGCGCTCAAGCTCTCCTGGAATCCTTCAGAGCGTCCTGGTAAGTCTTAGTCTTTGCAATTTCTGCAACAAGCCCCAGTGCATTAAAGACACAGCTCTAGGCACTAAGACTCTGTCATCTGCTACAATAAATAACATGAAAAGTGCTAGCTGATAGAACAAGGAGGAAATGGGAAAACGTTCTGTTGAGGTTACTTTTCCACAGTAAGAGGAAGTTTGGAAAGAGAGAACCCCAAAAGATAAAGTTCGGTGATTTTTCTTTTTTAAGGCACAAGAGCACAGCTTTACGTAGCAAAACAAAAGCAGATTATTGGACAGACTTCACGTATGGAAGGGGAGAGTCAACACTGCAGAATGCTTTCAGCAATATTCTTTTCAAGCTTTAAAAGAAACATGAGCTACTGATAAAGGGACTACCCATACTGTACAATTTTGATATGGCAATAAAAGAACTTTGTGGTTATTAATAGACAGCTTTATTACAATACAGTCTTTTCCAGTCAATTTAGCAACACAGTTGGTGATCGCAGGTCACTTAAAGCCGCCCACTTCTATTTTTTGTTTCTCAGAAAGCTGTTACAGTGGGAAGGCTTCAAGCAGCTGAGGCACAATCAGTTCCGATATCGATTCAAGTTCAAAGACAAAAAGTGTGACAATAATCAAGCTTACTGCAAGAGTGCAAATGTAACCACTCCTTCATATTTAAAATTATTGCTTTTTTTTTTTTTCAACAGTTTAAGACTGGTATCACAGTGCTGTTGTCTAGCTCATGAAGTCGGTAACAATGCTTTTTATTTTAAATAATGTGTTTTAAGAACACATGGATCTGTTGGAACAGATGGATCTGTTAGTTAATTTTGACATTGTGAATGTCTGTATTTCCTGAAACACGTATTCAAGGTCTGAACTTGATTTTTTTAAAATAGATATAAATTTCATTGTCAATCTAACAGTATTCAAGTTCAATGAAGATAAATGAAGCCAATTAAGCTGGGCAGTCTCAGCCACATTGAACACTGATTAGTATGCCAGCTGGACACAGTCTGCATTTTGTACTGCAACTGACATTTGTATGTCTAACTACCGATCTTCTTGCCCTTTAAAACATTAAAGATATCCTCTAGTGACTTGTATATACACTGAAGGAATTCTTTACCGTTCCTAGTTGGGTAAGAGGAAACATTACAACCTATCCAGCCATCATGTACCTGATATCCTACTCCAAAGCCATCGGGCACCACTGGGCCAAACCCTCCTAACTGCACAGCTGGGCTAATCAGCGTGCTTGTAGAAATGATGTTGTGATTTAGCCGAGCATAGGCTTGGTCTTGATAGAAATCAGGTAGCGCAGTACCTTTGGATAAGGCTAAATAGCGCAAGCCAAAGAGATGTCGGTCGAATCCCTGACCTGTTTAAATAAAATAGCAAGTATTAGAGAAATGACTAATTTTTGTGGGAAGTAAACTCACTTATTTTGACATCACATCGTTTTTCAGCCACAAAAGAGGAGGTTCTCAGAACTGGGGTTTATTTTTGTATTAGCAGGAATCATTTTTCAGAACCCCAACATTCTGCACTTTTCCTGCACGTATCCTAGGGAATGAAGGCTTGCTGGTTTACTGCTAGCCTCCACCAGGAATCATGATAGTAAACAAAAGTGAAATGTTAACAGACAATTTTAATAATACATAGCATTCTTTGATTAACTATTTATCTGAACATATACTGGTTGTTTAAAACAGAGACAGGCTTTCCTAAAATTTATAAATCTAAAGAGGAAGAGGATCTTTAATCAACAAAAGAAGGCAAATTTTATACTCTACGGGGTAACATTCAACAGTCAATTTTACTGAAACAATACAAGTTATGCTTCTGGGAAGGACAATTCAAAAGAAAGCATTCAGAAAAATACCAGGAGTAGCACAGCCAAAGAATCGGTTTGATTTGGAAGTAGTTAAAGCCTTTGTACCCTGCAGGGATAAAATAGTAACTCCTTAGACACAAAGCCAAAGTTCTTGGTTGCCGTGGGGAGTACAACATAGACCAAGTATTTATCAAATCTTCACATAGCCCAGCTGCTATAAAGGCAAAAACTGAAATACAAAAAATTCTCAACACATTAACAGTGAAGTGGGAAGCACAGAGGCATTCTCCTCCATCACGAAATGAGCCACGAAACGAGCCTTAGAGAACTGCAGCCTTCTGCTTTTGTGAAGTTTACATTATTAGACCTCCATCAAAATGAAATTATTTACTTGTGAAGTAAATGTTTACTTAATAGACATTTTAGTGCAAAAGCAAGTGTTTGATATATTCCTACTTACCCATAGCAGCTTCTTTTGTCAGACGGCCGTGGTATTTTGAGCACTCCACTATCAACTTCTGAAGCTCTTCTGTGCTATGTTTGGACAGTTCCCTGACAAAAGCTTCCGAACATTTCTTTGTATGGATGGAGGCAGGACGTATAGTTTCTGTACGACCATGTTTGAAAGCTGCTGTACTACAAGACTCATATGTAGCAACAGTCTGATTGTACTGTCGAAGGAAAGCCATCTGGAAGGCAAGCTGAGCCACCGCATCCGGGCTCACCTTCTTCTGCTTTAGAAAGTCCTTACCGCCTTCGTGGAATTGAATCAGATTAAGAGACAGTGCTTCTACACTGGCATCAAATTTCTGTTTGGCTTTGGTAATTCCTGCTTTTAAGGCATCATTCAGCTTGAAGTCAAGTTTCTGCACTGCTCTAGAAGAGTCTACTGAAGCAGGCTGGGACTGGGGGCTGATGGCTGGTGCCTTGGTGCTATCTTTAAAAACCTCATTCTGGAACCTGAGCACAGCCACACCATCTCCCCAGGAATGTTCAAAATTAACTCCTGCAGTGCCATCCTTAGCTATGATAAGATTAAAGGATTTGTCATACCAGCGGTTAGCACCATCTCCATGCAACATAGTGTGGGACAAGTGCACAAAGTCTTTAATGGGAAAATCATCTAAACTCAAACAAAACAAAGCAGAGTCTACTTTTTGAAGAGCTTCTTCATTGCCATTATCCAGTAGATTCTTTCTCAGCAATGCCCATGTATCTCGGTTTTCACTGGAGAGGTAGCCAAGAGGGAAGGCCGGGGCTGGACTGTTGTCGCTAAGGATGTATTTCAAGTGTGCTTGTATTTCTGAAGGTTTCAACATATTTCCATCTCTATCAATAACATCAAATATATAAAAATTCCCATTTCTCAGCACCAGTAAATGTTTTGCCGTTTCATCCGTATAAAGCTCATCTCTGTTGAGTTTAGGCAGCCGTGTAGAATTGAAAAGCCTGAAGTACTGAGACATATCTAGGGGATATGCGTTGACCATGTAGGCACCAAACCAAGAAAGTGAAGAAGGCACAAATCGGATAATTTTTTTAAAGATCTGAGTGTCACTTTT